TGTTTGCCCATGGAGAGGTGTATTGGTAAAGTGGCTAGGGTAGCTGGCACCCCCCCTGCTATGGACCCATCTAACTGGACAAATGAAATTGGTTGTTCCAGTCTCCGCGACGGAATGCCCAGATTCCCCACTACCGCTGGGCTAATGAGGCAGTGGGTGCAGCCAGAGTCTATTAAGGCTTTCACCTTCACGGCTTTGGGCATGGGGGAAATTAATATAGTCACTGACTTGAGGATGGGTGCGATGCGTCCACTTACCAGGGGTTTGCCCTCCGAGCTGTCATCTGAGGTGTCCACCGGCCCTGGGGTGTAGGCTGGAGTTCTTTCCCCCTGATGAGCAGAGGTGGGGGATTCCACAGCCTCCATCATTTTCATGGCAGATTCTTTTGGCTTAGCCGGAGATTTTCTGGATTTGCTGGCCGGTGATCTGTCTGGGTTGTGCTGAGGGGCTTTTGAGCGGCATTCTATAGCCCAATGCCCTTCTCTCCTGCACTTGAAACACTCCATTTGCTTTTCAGCCGTAGCAGATGGTTTCACTGGTTCACGTGTCAACTCAGTCGGTGAGCGGCCCCATTGTTTTCCTCGGCGGTGCCTCTTCAATATGTCGATCTCTGCTTCCTCTGCCAAGACGTACCATTCTTCAAGTTGGTGTGGGTCCCCTCAGGGCAGGCAAGCGTCATATAGGTCATAATTTAGTCCGTCTTTGAAATGGCTAAGGAGGATGTCTTCCGGCCAGTTCAGTTTGCTGGCAATGGACCAGAATTCTTGTGTATATTCGGCTACCGGGCGTTTGCCTTGCCTCATTGTTTTTATCCTTTTGTGGGCTTTGCGATCAGCCAGGGGGTCCTCAAATCGCCTTCTCAGAGAGGACGTGAAACGGTTGAAGTCGTTGAGCTCTGGGGCATTGGAGTCATGCAAGTTCACCACCCAATCTGCGGCTGGTCCGTCCAGGGCAGATTGCACGATCCGGATACGGGCTTTGTCGCTGGGGATGTCCCGCCCGTATTCCTCCATGTAGCTGAGGACTTGGGTTAGGAAGAACCCCAAGCATGTTGGCTCCCCCTTGAATTTCATGTCCAGCGGCAGGAGTCTTTGAATGGACCGGTGCCTTCGGTGGTAGTGTCTTCCATCCAGATCGCCATCTGTGGATCGGCGGAGAGTGGGGACTACTGTACCAGTAGATGTCCCCGGGGCTGCAGGTCCCACTTCCCCCTCGGTGTCTCTCCCTTTGCGGCTCCAGGAGCTGGGGCGGTCATAGAGCTCAGAAGTCTCCTCTCCTAGGGAGCTGAGAGTTCTCTTCATCAAGTCGATAGATCCAGTCCGAGTACGGTGCCCAGTTCCCTCTTCACTTGCGTGCAGGGATTTCTCCATCTTCTGCTTCCAATTTGGCTGGTTGGCCCCCATCTCAGGGTCACCTTTCTTGATTTCTTTTCCCATTTGCCTTTCTTTCCAACGCCCATTGACCACCGAGGTTTGTGGTCTCGTGTCTTCACCACCTCTTCTCCTGAGGAATCTGACCTCTCAGATCCCGACATCGAGCAGGGTTTCAGTTGGGGTAACGGCTCTCTTTCTGGGGAGTTTTCTCCCTTCCTTGCTCCACCATCTGACATGGTAATTTATTGCAAAGTCCCCCGGCAAGGTTCTCCCTTCCAGGTGGATTACTTTTGCAGATCCTGTCTAATGTAAGGACCCACCCCACTTTGCATCTTAAGAAGACAGACCTCTTGGAATATTTCTTCCAACAGGCATCTTTATTAAGAGAAAATGGTTGCAGGCGTTCTAGACAGGATCTGGGGCCCAAGCTCTATAGTTCAATATTTTAAGGGGTCCCCAGTAGCCCCACCCCCATCATCTTCCCAGCAACAATTCCAGGCTCTATATTTCCACCCCCTTTTCCTCACTGCCGGTGGAAGGGAGACTTCAGAGAGGAATAGATCAAAGCTGATGGCCCCCATTCTTATGCTTAGTCCTTTTGGTGATATCCACATTCAAGTCCTTTGAAAGTGTACCGAAGGAAGTGAAAGCCATAAAACCCCTTTGTTCACCCCTCTTCCCCTTCATCATATGACAGAATCCAGAGAGGGCAGAAATGGGGTTTTGCATCGTCGATAATTAGAGATGAAATATAATTGGATTCTGACAGCCTCATCATGTATTGAATTATGGGACCAGAACTGGGCGCAGTATTCTAAGTGTGGACTCACCAGCATGGTGTAAATTGGTACTATCACTTCTTGTTTTCTTGACACTATCTCTCTGTTGATACAACTTACCACTACATTGACTTTTGGGGGGACAGCTGCAGCAGATTCCCTGCTCCTGCTTGTCCACTAGGACACCTAGATTCCTCTGTTGAGCCAGATATTACATATTTTATTCCTGTTCTTTTCATTTTTCCTACCTAAAAATACCCATTGTTTCCCTTATCAACAATAAAAACTTTTCAACTGCACATTTTTTTTCTCATGTTAGGTAGCAAAACAGAGAGGTTTGTCTCTCTTCTGTGTGACAGTATGGCCAAATGGCAGCCGCTTCCACAAGTCCACTGCATGGCCCAGGGACGGCTGCTTCCAGGACACAGTCCCAAGGGCCAGGGATGCACGCCCTCCCCTTCTTCCCCAACGTGAGGATCAGAAATCTTAGAAACAAAGAGGAGGGTGTGAGGCGTGCAGGGACCCAGTGGGAGGGAGACAAAACCTGTGGAGACCCTGGGGTGGGAAAGAACTGGGCGGCACAAGGGTTGGGAAACAGAGTACAGGGTGGGGGTGGCCTAGAGATGCCTACAACAGGCAAACATGGGCCTGCACTAGGCCTCCAAGAGTTTTCCCCAACTCTGAGGTCTCCAGTGTTCCACTTAGTGACTGACACTTCAATTAATGGCTGCATCAGAGAGATCAGGGTAATTTAGGAAAGAAGTCTCACTTAACGGCCATTACAACATGCAACCATAATTGCAAGGCCCATCACAGTTATATCTTGAGGACCTTTTGTATGCTGGCTGAGGAATTCTGGGCTTCAAAATCTGGAGGAAACCAAGGTAGAAGGCCTGAAACACCACACGTGGAACTTATATAATCAATATACAAAACTATCACCCAGAAGCCTTTTTGAGGAAATCCACAACTTCTACAAAAGGAAATATCCAGTAGCTTCTGCTGCTAACCAGAAATTGGTAGTTCGCCCTTTTCCATTTTCCTTTTCTCTCCACCTACAAGTCTAGTCCTGAGATATGTTTGAGTAAACATGGCCCCCCTTAGTAGTGTCCCTAGATATGGGCTGTGCACTATTCATGCCCATGATCATTCATGTGGGTCCAAATCTGTGAGTGCTGTTCCTGTCTTCTAACTGCTTGTGCATGCTCATGCACCCTAGTTTTTAACCGTTTTGTGGCCTCACCAACACAGTTACAGGAACAGTCCTTACACTTGATCTTATAAATTATTGCAGATTTTTCTTCATTGGGGAGTGGATAGTTTGGGTGCATGATCTTAGATTGTAGATTTTGATCTGGTTTATGGGCCACTTTTACATTAAAGGGGGCCAGTAGTCTAGCTGTTGCCTCTGATACACCATTAATGTATTGGAGGGAGATACGCACATTTTGGGTTGTCGTCCTGTCAGTTTCTTACAAGTTTTTGCAGGATCTGTACGGCTTACTGTACTTCCTAATGAATCCAGTAGGGTAACCATTATACTTGCAGGTCTGAAATAGATGATTCCTTTCCTCAATTTTGGTCCTGGTTGTACTGCAGTGTGAATCGATACATTTCAACAATGTTCTTATACAGCTGATTTTATGGGCCACTGGATGGTTGCTTCCATAATAGAGGGTCCTATTGGTATGGGTCGGTTTACGATACACTTTTGTGCGTAGGGTCCCATCCAGTTGGCGATGGACCAACACATCCAGAAAGGCTAACGTACCTGGTTCTCTTCCTCTGCTGTAAAGCGGATATTTGAGTACACAGAGTTTAGCGCCTCCATAAAATCAGTCTTATGTTGTTTCTTAATAACTACAAATATATCGTCCACATATCGGACTCAAAATTTGGGGTGGAACTGGGTCATTACCAGGGTTTCCAAATGTTGCAGAACGGCTTCTGCCACTATGCTTGAGATAGGGGATCCCATAGGTGTTCCTTTGACCTGCTCGTATAAGGTCCCTTGGAAAGTAAGATACGTTTTTAAACATAATGTTGTTAATTTCAGTAGGTCGTCAGTACATAGGGAATCTTGATGTCATCTTTGTCCCATTTCATTAAGGCCGTCTCTTAAGGTCGTGACTGCCAAGTCCTGCAGGATAGACATAAAGAGTGAGGTGACGTTAAAAGATACCATCACCTCATCCCCCTCCACCTTTAGGAACTTGACTTTTTCTAGAAATTCCAAGCCGATCTCACTGTGGTTTGATTACCATCTACCATATGCGGCTACTCAGCCACTTGGCTAACTCTGAGGTTGGTGTGCCTTTGAATGACACAATTGGACACAGGGGAGCCCCTTCTTTATGAACCTTTGGTAAGCCATAGAATCTGGCTATGGCCAAATCCCTCAGGCGTATTTTCCTCAGAGTGTTTTCATCCATTACGTTTATACTATTTTTGAGCGTGGTCATGGAGTCTCCGGTAACAGTTCTGTATGCCGTTGTGTCACTGAGTAGTGCCAGGGCTATATTGTGTTTTGTCCATAACTACCGTCACCCTGCCTTTATCCGCTGGCAGAATGACGATAGTATGGTCCTTTCTAAGTTGTTCTAAAGCCTCTATTTCGCCCCTGGATAATATTTGGCACCGTTTGTGACCCATTAACAAACCTGTGACTCTTTGTCTAACGGAGGTTTTGATTTCGTCACCCACCCCAATCTATCATACGGCAGGATCCAATGCTGCAAAAAAATCCAATGGTCGTGCATCCGCCAAATTATGTCCCACATCCCGTTCAAGCAGGGTTATCTGTTCTCGGGTCAACACTTTAGAGAATATGTTATGGACTAACCCCTTGGTGTAATCACAGTTCTCCAACATCTATAGCGTTTCCAACTTGTATTGGAGTGTCGTGGTTGTCTGGCAGCTTGCCCTCATAGTGGCTTGATGATTCTGGCGGTCAAGTGCAACGAAGTGCTGGTATGTTAATTCCATGTTGCAGCGCTCATGATAGTCTTGGACCCGTGTCTTACAAACCTCTATCCACCTATGTTGGTCATTGATTAGAGCTAATGTTTCTCCGTGAATGCATCCGAGGAGACCTCCCCATTAAATCTTTGAGAAGGAGACCTGTAATTGATTCTATGGAGTGTCAAATGGCCATCTGCCAATTTCAACATCGCTCATTGCGTGCTCTAATCAACAACCAAGGGACCTTAATGGCATCACATTCTTAACAAACCCATTCTGGCTTGTTACAACTGCCCATCATTTCTTTTTCTCCAGAAGCATTTGTGGAAACAGAAGTTTACTTTAATTAAATAACTTGTGAAATTCTCAGACTTTTAAAAGAAGGAATAAAATCAGGGGGGACAGGACCCAGAAGAACCAAGAGGGATCACAGGCACCTTCAAATGCCCAGAGTGCCACACTCAGGACGAGCTTTCAGACTGAGCAGCCGACATATTCTTACGTTAACGAAATTCACTCCCGACATTTTTTGAACATTTGTGTCATTCATTGTTGCCATCCACGGGGACCTGAACTTCCATGATGTCTATCAAATCTGCTTCAGAATTTGGAAAATCATCAGGGAAATCAGAGAGATCCTCTGTGATTCTTTCATGTTCAAAGGCTACAATCCGACTGAAAAAACAAATGGCTGTTTTAGAGAGAAACCATAGCTTAGTTGTCCAGTTTGAAATGTCCTAATTTCCCCATAAGACTGGCAATGACGGAGAAGATAATCGCTGAATCTGAGAAGGATGCCAATCAAAACATATCCAGTTAGCCATTCTAATTTTTTAAACTGTGCCTAATGAATTGCTGTATTTTCATAGAATTTAGGACTAGGGCAGATAGCAATGCAACAATAAATTAAGAGGCAGAAGCCTAACTGCAGCTCACGTCATCAGAGGCAGAGAGTGGTGGGACTGATGTACGATTGAAACTGAATTTTTAAATTTATCAATGAAGAGGGACGGAAAGCTGAGTAAAATAGATTACTTAGAGATGCAGATTGCACAAGAGACATATTACAAATTAACAATCGTATGTGTTAGAAACCCACCGTATGTATCACTGAGCAAGAGTTGGGTAATGAGCTTCACATTATCTTTTTATTATTAAATTCATTCATTATTAAACTTAATCACTGCCCATCTCGCCGTTTGACACAACTTTGAGCGACTTCCCTTGACCTAATGTCCATAACAACAATGAAAATGCCCATTTTTTCCCTTATCAGCAATGAAACCATTCCAACTGTATATTTTCCCTCAAGTTAGGTAGCAAAACAGAGAGGTTTGTCTCTCTTCTGCGTGACAGTATGGCCAAATGACAGCCGCTTCCACAAGTGCACCGCATGGCCCAGGGACGGCTGCTTCCAGGACACAGTCCCAAGGGCCAGGGATGCACGCCCTTCCCTCCTTCCCCAACGTGAGGATCAGAAATCTTAGAAAGAAAGAAGGTGTGAGGCATGCAGGGACCCAATGAGAGGGAGAAAAAGCCTGTGGAGACCCTGGGGTGGGAAAGAACTGGGCAGACAAGGGTTGGGAAACAGAGCACAGGGTGGAGGAGGCCTAGAGTTGTCTACAACAGGCAAACCTGGGCCTGCCCAACCCTGAGGTCACCAGTGTTCCACTTAGTGACTGACACTTCAATTAATGGCTGCATCAGAGAGATCAGGGTAGTTTAGGAAAGAAATCTCACTTAACGGCTGTTGCAACATGCAACCATAATTGCAAGGCCCATAACAGTTATATCTTGAGGACCTTTTCTACGCTGGCTGAAGAATTCTGGGCCTCAAAATCAGGAGGAAGCCAAGGTAAAAGACGTGAAACTCCACATGTGGGAATTATATAATCAATATACAAAACTAGCACCCAGAAGCCTTTTTAAGGAAATCCACAACTTCTACAAAAGGAAATATCCAGTAGCTGCTGCTACTAACCAGAAATTGGCAGTTAGCTCTCTTCCATTTTCCTTTTCTCTCCACCTACAAGTCCAGTCCTGAGACACGTAAAAAGATTCAGACCACAATTCAAATAGTCAATTTCTCAACTACAGTTTCAATGGGAGATCACAAATGAATTTCAAGGCTTTTCTAAATTCCTCAACTTTTACCTCATGTGAATTTCCTCGTGTGCAATGATTTATGACTGAAGTAACGTCCACAGACTGAACATTTGAAAGACTTCTCCCCTGTGTGAGTCCTCTAGTATCTCAATAGGATAGAATTCTTACTAAAATCTTTCCCACAATCAGGACATTCAAACATTTTCTCTTCCGTGTGAGTCCTTTGGTGCGTCACAAAGTGGGAATTCTCACTGAAACTTTCCCCACAGATAGGACATTCAAATGGTTTCTCTCCTGTGTGAGTCCTCTGGTGTCTCACCAGGCTGGATTTCTGACTGAAACTTTTCCCACAATCAGGACATTCAAAGGGTTTCTCTCCTGTGTGAGTACTCTCATGTCTCACAAGGCTGGAATAGCAACTGAAACTTTTCCCACAATCAGGACATTCAAATGGTTTCTCTCCTGTGTGAGTCCTCTGGTGTCTCACCAGGCTGGATTTCTGACTGAAACTTTTCCCACAATCAGGACATTCAAAGGGTTTCTCTCCTGTGTGAGTACTCTGATGTCTCACAAGGCTGGAATAGCAACTGAAACTTTTCCCACAATCAGGACATTCAAACGGTTTCTCTCCTGTGTGAGTCCTCTGGTGTATCACCAGGTGGGAATTCTCACTGAACCTTTTTCCACAATCAGGACATTCAAAGGGTTTCTCTCCTGTATGAGTCCTCTGGTGTATCACCAGGTTGGAATAGCGATTGAAACTTTTTCCACAAGGACATTCAAAGGGTTTCTCTCCTGTGTGAGTCCTCTGGTGTTTCACCAGGTTGGATTTTTGACTGAAACTTTTCCCACAATCAGGACATTCAAAGGGTTTCTCTCCTGTGTGAGTCCTCTGGTGTGTCACCAAGTGGGAATTCTTACTAAAACTTTTCCCACAGATCGGACATTCAAAGGGTTTCTCTCCTGTGCGAGTCCTCTGGTGTTTCACCAGGCTGGATTTCTGACTGAAACGTTTCCCACAATCAGGACATTCAAAGGGTTTCTCTCCTGTGCGAGTCCTCTGGTGTTTCACCAGGCTGGATTTCTGGCTGAAACTTTTCCCACAATCAGGACATTCAAACGGTTTCTCTCCTGTGTGAGTACTCTGATGTCTCACAAGGCTGGAATAGCAACTGAAACTTTTCCCACAATCAGGACATTCAAACGGTTTCTCTCCTGTGTGAGTCCTCTGGTGTGTCACCAGGTGGGAATTCTCACTGAACCTTTTTCCACAATCAGGACATTCAAAGGGTTTCTCTCCTGTATGAGTCCTCTGGTGTATCACCAGGTTGGAATAGTGACTGAAACTTTTTCCACAAGGACATTCAAAGGGGTTCTCTCCTGTGTGAGTCCTCTGGTGTTTCACCAGGTTGGATTTCTGACTGAAACTTTTCCCACAATCAGGACATTCAAAGGGTTTCTCTCCTGTGTGAGTCCTCTGGTGTGTCACCAAGTGGGAATTCTTACTAAAACTTTTCCCACAGATCGGACATTCAAAGGGTTTCTCTCCTGTGCGAGTCCTCTGGTGTTTCACCAGGCTGGATTTCTGACTGAAACGTTTCCCACAATCAGGACATTCAAAGGGTTTCTCTCCTGTGCGAGTCCTCTGGTGTTTCACCAGGCTGGATTTCTGGCTGAAACTTTTCCCACAATCAGGACATTCAAACGGTTTCTCTCCTGTGTGAGTACTCTGATGTCTCACCAGGTTGGAATAGCGACTGAAACCTTTCCCACAATCAGGACATTCAAAGGGTTTCTCTCCTGTGAGAGTCCCCTGGTGTGTCATGAGATTGGAATTGTGGGTGTAACATTTCTCACAATCAAGACATTCACAGGGTTTTTCTCTTGTGTGAGTCCCCCCTGGTGTTTCACCAGATTGGAATTTTGGCTGTAACATTTCCCACAATCAGGACATTCAAAGGGTTTCTCTCCTGTGTGAGTATTATGGGAATTTTTAATGAAACTTTCACACAATCAATACAGTCATAGGTTTTCTCCCTGCTGGGAATCCTCTGATGTATCACCACGTTGCCATGCTCACTAAAGCATTTACTGCACTAGGAATGCTTTTATGGCTTTTCTCTTGTGTGGATCCTTCCATGAACCACAAGGGAGCTGTTCTGACTAAAGCTTTTGCCAGAATCAGATGGTTTGTATGGCTTTTCTGCTCTGTGGTTCCTCTTGTGCATAATTAGTTGATTTGCAATCTGTGCTTTTGCAACAATAGACACAAGTACAGAGCTTTTCCACAGGTGATATTCTTGAAGAGGTTAAAAATATGGACTATCCCTTGTTCAGTGATGCTTTCATTAAATCCGTTTTCTTCCTCACAGGGCGAGGCCTGCATGGCTCTCTGCTCTATGTGACTTTCCTACTCACTTTTCCATCCAACTGATTTCCAGATATTTCCTTCTTTTACTGAATGAAAAATACTCCCTTCACTTTTCATGTAATGTATCCTTGAGTTCTGAAAAATCTACTTATTCCAGTTTGAAATCTTTTTTGTTTTTCTCTTTTTTTCTTAGAGTGGCTGGAGGAGAGGGAGAATTGTGTGGTTTCTGAAGGAAATGGAAAATATTTTGATTTCTGGCTCAGTTTGCTTTCCTTTTCAATGTTGCTTGTTATTCTTAGCTGTCCAGAGGGCTCTTCTTCCCATCCTCTTTTCTATAAGATTTAAAAAAAAGTGTAACTTTAATATTTATAAAATGGTGAGAGGTGTGAAAAAAGAAAAAAAGTATACATTACAATGAAAAAGCAAACATGCCACAATGATAGAATAGTCTTTTACATTGTTTATGATTCATCTGATACATGGAATACATCCATGTTCAAATATCCATTCAATCAAATTCAGGTGTTGATTTGGGTAAACTTTCTTGTTGACTTCGGTCAATCATAAATCCTTAGCAATACAAAGGGTTATCATCAAATACATCTGGAAGTGATGGGGATAGATTATATAATTCCAGATATATTCATTAAGAGAGAAATACAGATACACACTCCTACAAAAGTATATATGGAAAAAATCTGTCTTTCAAGACTGGAAAAATTTCCCAAAAATAGTTTACAATCAAAGCTTTTGATCTAATTTTAGAGATGTGGCGGCTTTAATTGATGGATAACAGAATAACAGAGTTGGAAGGGACCTTGAAGGAAGTGGGAAGAATTTTAATGGAGGAAATGACGATAAATCAAAAAAAGATGTTGATAATAGCAATATATGCACCAAACAATAAACAAGAAATATTTTATCAAAACCTACACAGGAAAATATTGGAAATGGAATATCAAAATATTTGTTTAGTAGGAGGCTTTAACGCAATTGTGAATGAAAAATTAGATTACAAAAGTAGTAAAATAGGAAAAAAAGGAAGAACAAGGAAGAAAGAGATTAAATTGAAAGAAAAAAAGGACAAGTATAGAAAGTGGAAAGAGAGGCACATAACTAAGTCAGAATATCAACAAATAGCCCGAGCCTGCAAAGATGAAGTGAGGAAAGCTAAGGGTCATAATGAACTAAGGCTTGTAATCAAAGTCAAAAATAACAAAAAAAGCTTCTTTCAACATATAAAAAACAAGAAAAAAGTGAAGGCAATGATTGGTCTATTAGTGGGTGAAAGTGGCAAGAAGGTGACAAGCAATAGGGAGAAAGCAGAACTATTTAACTCGTTTTTTGCATCTGTCTTTACACAAAAGGAAAAAACAGAGCAACCTATCAAAAATAGTGCCATAAAAAACAGTGTAGAAAGACAAGTTAAGATAGGCAAGAAAACAGTGAGAATTCTAGGACAGTGATGGAGAACCTTTTAGAGACCAAGTGCCCAAAGTACAACCCAAAACCCACTTATTTATTGCTGGGTGCCAGGTTGGCGTGGCCTACTGGATGGGCGTGGCTGTAGTGGTCATGGCAGACTGGGTGGCCAAGGTGGGTGTGATCACCTCAATGTTGCTCATAGGGAGGGATGCCTGTGGAGGCCGGGCAGGGTTGGGGGAGATCCAGGGGGTCCTGGCAGATGGGACGGTGAGCAGGAGGCTCGTCCTGCGGGGTGAGGCGAGGCAGGGTGGGGGTGCCATTATCACAGGGCAAGATGAGGCAGGGGCCGGGGTGCTGCTGCCTGACACCATCAGCCCCTGCACACAGAGCCCAGCGAGCACATGGGTGCCGGGATGCATCCAGCCATATGGGACTTCGGTGAGTTAGCCGGCGGCTAGTTGAAGAGGGATAGTTGCCATCTCCAGGGCATGGAACACGTGCCCACAGACAAGGCTCTGAGTGCTGCCTCTGGCACGCGTGCCATAGGTTCGCCACCACTGTTCTAGGATGTCTGGCTCGAGGTCAGTGACCATCCCATCGTGATTATCAGGGACGCTAAGCTTGTTCTTCTATAGTTCTTCTGTGTAATTTTGCCACCTCTTCTTAATCTCTTCTGCCTCTGTAAGGTCCCTGCCATTTTGGTCCTTTATCATGCCCATCTTTGCATCAAACGTTCCCTTCATATCTCCAATTTTCTTGAAGAGATCTCTGGTTCTCCCTATTCTATTGTTCTCTTCTATTTTTTTTTTGCACTGTTCATTTAAGAGGGCAGTCTTATCTCTTCTAGCTATTCTCTGGAATTCTGCATTCAATTGGGTGTATCTTTCTCTTTCTCCCTTGGCTTTCACTTCCTTTCTTTCCTCAGCTATTTGTAAAGCTTCCTCAGATAGCCATTTTGCTTTCTTGCATTTCTTTTTCTTTGGGATGGTTTTAGTTGCTACCTCTTGTACAATGTTGCGAACCTCCGTCCATAGTTCTTCTCTGTCTATCAGATCTAATTCCTTAAATCTATTTGTCACCTCTACTGTACTGTATATTTTACTGTATATTCATCAGGGATATGATTTAGTTCATACCTGAGTGGCCTAGTGTTTTTCCCTACTTTCTTCAATTTAAGCCTAAATTTTGCAACGGGAAGCTCACAATCTGAACCACAGTCAGCTCCTGGTGTTGTTTTTACTGACTGTATAGAGCAGTGGTTCTCAACCTTCCTAATGCCGCGACCCTTTAATACAGTTCCTCATGTTGTGGTGACACCCAACCATAAAATTATTTTCGTTGCTACTTCATAACTGTAATTTTGCTACTGTTATGAACTGTAATGTAAATATCTGATATGCAGGGTGTATTTTCATTGTTACAAATTGAACATAATAAAAGCATAGTGATTAATCACAAAAACAATATAGCAATGCTTGCTGGAGAAGCTTACTCTTCCTTGCTCAAAAATGTTGGGAGGGAGGGAAGGGGAAGGAAGGAAGGAAGGAAGATTGAAGAGGAAAGGAAGGAGTTGGAGAAGAAAGAGATTGAAGGGGATGGAGATGGAGATGGAGATGGAAGGAAGGAAGGAAGGAAAGAAGGAAGGAAGGAAGGAAGGAAGGAAGGAAGGAAGGAAGGAAGGAAGGGAGGGAGGAAGGAAGGAAGATTGAAGGGGAAAGGAAGGAGATGGAGAAGAAAGAGATTGAAGGGGATGGAGATGGAGATGGAGATGGAAGGAAGGAAGGAAAGAAGGAAGGAAGATTGAAGGGGAAAGGAAGGAGATGGAGAAGGAAGGAGATTGAAGGGGAAAGGAAGAAGAAAGAGATTGAAGGGGATGGAGATGGAGATGGAAGGAAGGAAGGAAAGAAGGAAGGAAGGAAGGAAGGAAAGAAGGAAGGAAGGAAAGAAGGAAGGAAGATTGAAGAGGAAAGGAAGGAGATGGAGAAGGAAGGAGATTGAAGGGGGAAGGAAGGAAGGAAAGAAGGAAGAAGAGATTGAAGGGGAAGGGATGGAGATGGAAGGAAAGGAAAGAAGGAAGGAAGGAAGACTGAAGGGGAAAGGAAGGAGATTGAAGGGGAAAGGAAGGAAGGAGAGAGAGATTGAAGGGGAAGGGATGGAGATGGAATGAAGGAAGATTGAAGGGGAAAGGAAGGAGATAGACAAGGAAGGAGATTGAAGGGGGAAGGAAGGGAGAGAGAGATTGAAGGAGGGAGGCACTGCTAAGGACGCACAAGCAACTCTGCACAATTGCCCAGGGAGGGGGGGAGGTTCTGGTGGAGAGCTTGGTGGAGAGCCAAGCGGCGGCACATCCGGGGCCTTGGAAGCTGCGCAGAGGATCTGCGCACCTTGGAGCCACTGGCCACTCTCTCACACCCGCCAAGGAATAGAGATGGAGATGGAAGAAAGGAAGGAAGATTGAAGGGGAAAGGAGGGAGATGGAGAAGGAAGGAAGATTGAAAGGGAAAGGAAGAAGATGGAGAAGGAAGGAAAGAAAGAAGGAAGGAAGGAAGGAGAGGGAGATTGAAGGGGAAGGGATGGAGTTGGAGATGGAAGGAAGATTGAAGGGGGGAGGCGCTGCCAAGGATGCACAAGCACCTCTGCACAATTGCCCGGGAAGGGGGGGAGGCTTTGGCGGAGAGCCTGGTGGAGAGCCAAGCGGTGGCACATCTAGGGCCTCGGAAGCTGCGTGGAGGATCCACGCCTCGGAGCCAACGGCTGCCCTCTCACACCCGCCAACCTGGAGCCCCCCATCCTCATCCCGGCACCTCTTGCCCTCTCCCAGCCACCCCCTGGGTCCTGCCCGCCCCTCCAGCCTCCTGAGTGCCATCGCAGCAGTGGGGTCCCGGGAGCCACTTTCCACGCCACGCAGCCCATCGTACGCGAGAGGGATGCGGTCAGAGCACCAGCTCCCGCTCAGAAGGCAACACTTCTCCCCTCCCGGCCCTGCCGGCCTCTGACGCACATGTGGGCATCGCTGCCGCCTCGCCCTCTTCTCCACCCCCTAGCCGCTTCCTACGCCTGTGGTTGTTCGCCGATTCCTAAGATGTCGAACTTCAGTTTTGTCATCTCTTGTTTGACCACATCCAGTTTGCCTTGATTCATGGATCTTACATTCCAGCTTCCTGTGGAGAAAAGATCTTTAGAGCATCAGACTTTCCTTTCACCACCAGATGCATCCACAGCTCAGCGTCCTTTAGGCTTTGGCCCAGTCGCTTCACTTTTTCTGGCGCTACTAGTACTAGCCCTCTGGTCTTCCCCAGTAGCATATTGGACATTTTCCGACCTGAGGGGCTCATCTTCCAGCGTCATATCTTTTTGCCTTTTGGTACTGTCCATGGGATTTTCATGGCAAAGATACTGGAGTAGGTTTCCATTTCCTTCCCCAGTGGATCACATTTTGTCAGAACTCTCTGCTATGACTTGTCCGTCTTGGGTGGCCCTACACGGCATAGCTCATAGCTTCATTGAATTGAGCAAGCCCCTTCACCACAACAAGGCAGTAATCCATGAAAGGGGCCCACTAAATTAAGAACTAATATACATCTGGTATTTTAATGTAATTTTTTTTATTTATTCTCTCCCATTCTAAAAGGAGTATATTCCTTATAGCATAGTGTTGAAAATATCTATGTATTTTATTTTTCCCATACCACATTAAAATACCAGAGTGACTTTCAACAATGGAAGCTTTTGCTTACTCAAATTTAATTAATTATGATAAACTCATCACCTATAAAGATTTGTGGCCTTACTTACAAATTAAAACAAGATATGAGAAAGATTTAAAGACAGTGGGATTTTATAAAGAACCGATAGAATTTGATCAAATACTCTTGAAAACAGATGAAAACTTGATTAAGAAACTTTA